GTCGATCGAGTCGACCATCTTTTATTTTGCTATTGTATAACTTGATCGATAGAAATTTGTACTATTGTGAATGGTTGACAGAATTGTAAACAGCTGTTTGTTTGTTTACATTTGTTTCTTTAGTGTTTTATTTCCATCATTTTTTAAAATAATTGCTTTTATTATAAAATTTAAAAAATGGACACAGTTGAAATATGGTTTAGTGATGAGGAGGATGATGTGGAAGCTAATAGATTAGTAGAGTTGGCTAAAGCAATGAGGGAATTGCGGGATTCGTCGGATCTCTTGGAATTGGAAGCTGAAGTGTATGTACATATGTGAGTTTTATGAATAGAAGTTGCGTTCCCGATGCTTCACGGGTCTTAGGCTTTACATGATTTGCAGGAAAAGCTGTTTTCCTCATTAATAAACTTAATGGAAGTTTAAGAAATACCATACGGTTTAGATATTTGTACAATGATGTTGGGTATTTGTGTCCAAACGCGTGACCCGAGTTTAAAAACTTTAACATACAAGTGTAGTGAAAGAATTCAACTTTAATTTAAAATAAAGATTTCAAATTTCCGAGCACTAGTCAATAAATAAGTTATGCAGTTTTTTTGTAAACTTTTGATGTTGGTTCTGTGCAAAAGACTGTTGATGGCATAGCCGGAGTTATATGCACAAGAAATATTGTATATGTCTTTCCCAATAGAAGCAGAGCTTCCTCCCCTACTCTTTCCGGAAATTCCTTTGCCTATGTCGTCACTCTCCTGCATCTGCACGACCAACCGCGCCAGTTGCCTTTTGTTGATTATAATTTTTGATTATATTTCACAATTTTTTACAACTTCCAGTTCAATTGACTTACATTTTATCCATTATAGTACCACTTTCTTATGAAAATTTTAGAAACGCAAACTCCAACAACTAAATAACAGCAATAGAAGGATGAGCGATTAAAAAGTATTCACAGTCGCTAATTGAGCGACCAAGCGACACTCGCAATAGCATCGATAATCGCTTAATAGTCGTTTATCTACTGCCAGTCGACATTCGCAATTGGGGTGGGAATTGATGACTTGAGCTCGAAAGTAATCGGGTATCTCACCGAGCTTTCTCGTTTCGTTCCTGCAAGGAGCGTAACCATTTCCTCTACGAAATCCTCGGTAACTTTATTCACCACCTGGACGAAGGAGGTCAGACTGCAACTGGGTATTCACGTCGATGGTGAGCCAATACCGACGGTGAATAACCCAAAAACCTTCGGAGTCACCTTCGACAGTCTGCTCTCCTTCTCGGCGCATACAACTGTAATTGTCAACAGAGCACAGAGCCGCAATAAGCTCCTAAGTCGCTGGCCGACAGCACTTGAGGCAAGGACAAATAAACGTTGCTGCCGTTGGCCGGCCGGTTGTAAGTTATTCAGCGCCCGTGGGGTCGCCGGGTACTACAGACCTGCCAGAACATAGCACTTCGGACTGAGACCGGAAGCCTTCTGATGTCGCACCCAACACCACCTACACGACAAGGCCCATATCCTCCCCATGAAGGAGCATAACACAATGCTCTGAAAGCAGTTTCTAGTAGACGTGGTGACCCAAATAGACGGCTGGTTGCAGAATAGCCCTCGCCCAGACACGTCAGGAGGCACCTCTGCGAACTGACGGACGAAGTCCAGAGGTTCATCAAACAACCTCTGGACCATAGTACATATTTGCATTTTTTTGAGGGTACCTAAATTGGCATAAAAATTGTACATTTTTTATCCCAAAAGTACCTTTTCGGAAAATGAAAGTAATTTCAACTTCATTCGTACATGAGTATATTCAATTTTATTGAAAAACAAGTAATTTTTAGCAAAAAAAAACCGACTTCAACTCCCATATAAAAAAAAAATATATATATATATATATATATATCTCATGATCCACTGATCGGATCTCAACCAGATTAGTATGGGACCACCTCTGAGACACTACCTTTCCGATGCAAACGGTTGACGTGGTCCAAAGTTATGCGGTAACAAACATAAAAAAAAAAAAAAATTTATAAAAAAAAAATAAATTTCCGACGAACTGATAACCTCCTCCTTTTTTGGAAGTCGGTTAATAACCATGATGCAATAATGAAAGGTGTTGTACGTTGTGACAGCTCGAAATCGAACTACCTTAGGTCAATATCGTATTTTGGAAGTACAAGAAAAACGGGAAGAAAAGCCTTCTCAACAGCGTCTACGCGGAAAACTGTTCTGCTCAAAAATACTGTGGCCCTTTTCTAGTTTAGCCTAGGCAAAACTAGTTTGTCCTAAAATCGGGTTTGGCCGGTAACATATATATGGCTTGGTAGTCTCATAAATTTGTAGATACAGTGGTCGTCCAGTATAACGAATGATATAATGTCTGGGTTCATACGCTATATAGAAAAGTACGTCAAATCGAACTGAAATTTCATTATGAGAATTCAATAAAATTAGTCTATATATTACATAATTTTTTCACCCTAATAAATAACAAACGTTTATGTGACGGAAGTATTTTTCCAGTTCAATAAACGCGACCACTTGTGAGAAGTTATTCTTTTGAACTGATGGTAATTCCACGTACGCAAAAATCATGTTAAATCATGTCATTCAAGCACATAAAGTAAACATATGTTCGTTATATAGAATTCTCCTTTTTTCAACCGTTCGTTATTTAGAGTAATCAATCCATTTAAAAAGGCATTCATTATTTGGAGCGTTCGTTATATAGGCATTCGTTATACTGGACGACCACTGTAATTACAATAATAAAATTAGGCGTGTTTCCATTCGCAGGAATATGATAATATGCTTAAAATGTTTGAGCTGATGAATACCCAGCTAGAACAGTATGGCTCATAACTCCTTATATGTGCCGCATCACTAAGAAAAGTATCCCTTATGAATTCGAAATGTTTCCCTTATATTGTACAGGGCAAATAGAGAAATTCATTTACGTATGATCTTTTTCCCCCTCTTTTATATGGGCTTCTAGTGCGCATATATCAAGTTTGATAGCTGTTGACCATTCCAATAATGCCTCATGCTCAGTTTTACTAGATCAATTCGTGTTCTCGAAAAAAAAAAAGAATTCACGACTCAAACATCTGAGTATAGCGGCCAAATTCTTTTCTAAAAATTTGGTAATTCTTCGTTTTTTGGCCTATAACTGCTTTGTATTGGCCATAAAACGAGCAATGTTCAAAATTTGGAGAAAAAAGATTTTTCAGATTTTTGGATCGTGAACATTTTTTTTCTCGGAGAACACGAATTGATCTAGTAAATCTGAGTATGAGGCGTTATTGGTATGGCCAACAGCTATTAAAACCTGATATATTCGCACTATAGGTTTTTTTTTTTAGTTCCACAAAGGATACTTTGAGGAATCATATAAGGAATTATACATTACCCAAGTTCACATATATCCAAATTCGTATCATATAGCAAGCATTGAATACTTAATATTTTATTTATTTGTTTTTGAAATTAACGATATATTTCAGAATTTATAATTAATACGTTGTGTTCCTTTTAGTAAATCCACTTTAATTTTTAATTGTACAAAATTTATTATATACATACAGTATCGGTCATATCAATAGCAACCCATTTCAAAGTGATAATATTTCCCACTCATTTTTATTTATTTATTTCTAGGAATTTACAATAAAAATACAGTTCATTTTCTAACAACACATATAAACCCAATTTTAAAACTTCGTAGAAAACCATGGTGGAATAATAACAAGGTGTTGTCAGTTACTTAACCTCACTTTTTCGGCAGGTCTATTCCGGTCACGCATTTTAAAGTAGTAGAAAAGAGATTAATTATTTACTACTTTTAATCCGTTGGTGCATACTATTTCAAATTAAATGTAGAAAGATGTATAATTACAGGCTTATAAGCCTGAATATATGTTTGTATCGGCAGCTCCACACAGCTTGGACATATATTGTAACTTTCACAAAGTAAAGGCGGTAAAATAAGGAAATTTCCTATTAGAGTGTAAATGATTTTTAAAATAGATTAAAACACATAAATATCGATAATATAAGCGAATTCCTAATTTAACCATGCAGTCACTCTATTCAGGTGTATCAGTAGTCCATTTGGCTCAGTATTATGACAATGCAGCAAAAGTTATTTAATATAAAAATCGCCTTTCCATACGATTTTTGTGTACGTCTTTTTCCATTGATAACCACGATATCTTTTATTTTTTACATTTTGAGGACAAAAATCATATAAATCGATCAATTTTAAATACTAATATCCATCTGAAAAGACCAAAGATACTATTTCCCAACGAGTAGTAGCATAAAAATTAAGATCGGCAGCACTGAAAATAAGTATGCCGATCTTGTCAAAATTACAACAAACACGTCGCTACTGACAACACCTTGTTATTATTCCACCATGGTACAAAGCTGCAAAAAATACAACAAATTTTCACCCAAAATTCAAACTTTTTTCTCAGAATTGTTTGAATTTTTTTGAACACTCAGTTTTATAGCCCCTTCAATTTTAGTCTAATTATATGCAAGTTTGAAGTGGCTAAAAATTACCATTGATTTTTTAGAATCGATATAAAAACAAATTGTGTTTATTCGTCTTCCATATAACGAAAAATGCGACTATATATCGATGGCTGAGTGGAAAATCAACCTATCTCTGCATCCAATTCGAACACGCCCGATATCAGAAAACTTTTTAACAACGCCCTATTTCCAAATTTAGATGAAAAACGCCCTATTTTAGAATTTCATTGAAAAACGCCCTATCTCAGAACTCGGTTCAAAAACACCATATCTCAGCTGACGATTCAAAAACGCCCTTTCTCAGCACATTTTCAATGTATTTTCGTTTGAGATAGGACTTTTTTGAGATAGGACTTTTTTAAACCGAATAATGATAATAACATACTATATACATATCTAGTTTCAATATAAAAAAAAATTATGTACACATCATTAATTTTGTATATATATCTATGTCAATATATGTATGTCATCATTTTCTAGAGAGTAAAAACACTTATATTTCAAAATGGTTATCTTTTTTAAAAAGCAATCCCATTTTTGGCTAGTATAATAGGTAGAATGGATAAGGATTGAGCCAAGAGCTTGTGTGAGCAAATCCGAATTTTTAGCATCAAATGTAAGTTACGCGGTTAAGGACGATACGCGATTTTGTGCTTTAAACGGCGATATGTATATTAACAGGAACGCAGCAATCTAATACACGGGTGGAGCAGGAACGCAGCACAGCAGAAGCATACAAAAAATCTGCAAATAAATGGTTTTTTAGGTTTTTAACTAACAAAAACCTGGTTTCAACTTACTTCAACGTGTCTAAAGCACAACGCACACACTAATGCAAAGGCGCAACAGGAACGCAACACTGTAAAACACGGGCGGAGCAATACACAGGCGGAGCAGGAACGCAGCACAGCAGAATCGTCCATAAAATCTGCGAATAAATGGTTCATTCGGTTTTGAAATAACAAAGAACAAAAGAACAAAGTTCCATACAATCAAGTTCGGCCCCAGCTGCAGTTCACCAGAGAATGCTGCAAATGGAATGGTTCATCAATAAAGTCAAAATAATATGTTGTAACTTACGTGTATTAGCTTTTAATCACAATACCAGCACAGGTCGGCCAGGAAAACGCTAAGGAAATAACCTAACAAATGCAAAATTATAATTTAATTGTAAAATAATATCTTTTTATTACAATACTCACCAAATTTCACGTAATTAGAAAACAAATGTCAGCGAATAAGAACAAAACGAACAACGTAAATTGAATCAATGTAGCTCGATTAGAATTTTTTTCTAATATTTTGGGAAATGTTCAGTGAAATTAGTAAAGAAACAACACGGTTTCTCCTAAGGTAGTTCAAAATGGCGGATTAGAGCGAGAAGTTGCCAACGTATAACACCTTTCATTATTGCATCATGAAAAATAACAGCAATTACATTGTTTATGAGATCTTAAGTTTATCATCACATACATGTAGGTTTTGCGTACAAAAATTGATTTATGTTATATATATAAAATAAATTACTGAATTCCACATTGTTTGTTTACACCCGATTCTTATTTCGCACGGTTTACAGGAAACCAAAACAACCGTTAAAAACACAAATTTGTAGCTTTAAAACTGAAAATTCAAATCAAGTAAGTTCAATTCACTTTAAAAAACTTATCAGAAAGGTTCTGTATTATATTGATTAAAAAATCGAAACCAAAACAGTGCGAAAATAACTCATGCAGGGAAAAACCACGCAAACAAATGATCAGGTGTATTCTAGACCAACCCCCTTATTCTAGAACCCGAATTTTCGTAATTCGTAATTCGTAGCTACGCTACGAAAAACTAAAAACCCACATGCTGCAACCCTTGCGGAAACATGTGCAGCATTGCCAGCTATCAGTTGTTTTTCGAAGATAGCCGAATGAAAGAAAACAAAGTGGAAAGGAATTAAAAAAACACTCATCATGTGCTTCTTTATTGTAAAATTGGTTAATTTTACATACTTTGAGGAAAATTATGGATTCTGATGTATTTGCAATTATAGCAGCAGAGTAAGCGGGCGCTATGGCAATGGTGTTGAACCACAAGCCAGAACTCCTCCTATGCCTGAAGAACTGGTTCCCAACCCAGTTAATGCAATAACAGCTTCTTCCAAGCCATTGAAAACATGCACTTTGTTAGGTCCACCACCTGTTGAGCTTGCTTCTGCCTTCGGTCGCGCTTAGGGATTATAACCCTTACTAAGTAGAATTCTCCTTTCTGTATTGCGGAGAAGAGGGGCTTCCGCAGGTCAAAGGTATACAACATTTCTTGTGCATATCACTCCGGCTACGCCGTCCACTGTATTTATGCGCAGAACCCACGTCGAAATTTGCAAAAAAGGGCATAGTGCAAACCGAGTTTATTAATAAGCTAGTGGTAGGAAATTTGAAACATTTATCTTAAATAAAATGTGAATCCTTTGATTACACGTGTATGTTAAAGTTTTTGGATTCGGGTTATGGTGCATTTTCATGGTATGAATTTGTTCATAAGCCGTATGAATTTTCCTATAAAAGAAGCACCAACTCTATAAAGAAATGAATGAAAGCGGTATATATTTAACATTTTTGACTTATATACTTGGCAAGTATTTTTTTGTAAACAAACAAAAAAATTTCATTTTGTGCTAACTTCGAAACTAGAAGCTTATTTTAGTTTTAATGTGCTTTAAAAAGGATCTACTGCCAATAAAGCCTTGCGGTTTGCTATTTTTTCAAATGTGTAATGCTTCCATTCAAACATCTTTGTGGATAAACAGTTTTTTGTTCAGAAATTGCTTGTTTGCGTTTTTTGTCTTTCATATTAAAAACGTTAAAAACACATAAGTTGAAATCATAGGGATGCCGTTTTCTTTCCTTTCTCAATGGATTTTATACTTGAAAAGGCACCAAAATATATATGCAATACTTTTACATATCGTCATTTAAAGTACAAAACCGCGCATCAAGAAAATGCAAAACCTTGTATGTGAGGTTGCCTAAATTTTATAGGAGAGAGTAAAATTTGTCATAATTCAAAACGGTTCCCTCTTTTAAACTTAATTATCTCTTCTTATGTCTAAGTATCGAAATTTTAGTATAAATGATTAAGGGCTTGATGATAGGAGCTTCCGGTGAACAAATATCTTTTTTTGGCACAAATGTCAGTTACGAGGTATTCAGAAACACGATACGCGATTTTTTACTTTAAACGACGATATAGAGATTGGCGCATACACAATGGCCCGTAGTTATAGTCAAAATAAAGTCGACTCTAAAGTTAAAAGCAGGTTTTTTTGACAGATATCCCATTGAAAGTTATGTCAAAAAGCTGCTTTTAACTTTAGAGTCGACTTTATTTTGACTATAACTACGGGCCAATATGTTAGTGTTTGGCCTAGCTTCTCCTCCCATATGGGGCGTGATTTTGTCACACAAAGGGGAAGGGCAGTTTTACGCCGACTCCGAACGGCAGTTGTATTTTTATGAGAGGTTGTTTTCATGACAGAATACACTCGGAAGTTTACTATTACCAATAGAGGAGCGACAGCTAACAGCGGAGTGTATATATCGATGGCTGAGTGGAAGATCGACCTATCTCGGCAGCCAGTTCGAAAACGCCGTATCTCAGAAAACTTTTCAAAAACGCCCTACTTCAGAATTTTATTGAAAAACACTCTATCTCAGAATTTAGTTGAATAACGCCCTATTTCATAATCCGGTTCAAAAACGCCCTATCTCAAACGAAAATACTTTGAAAATAAGCTGAGATAGGGCGTTTTTGAATCGGCAGCTATGATAGGGTGTATTCAATCAAATTCTGAAGTAGGGCATTCTTGAAAAGTTTTCTGAGATAGAGCGTTGTTGTGAATTTTTCTAAGATAGGGCGTTTTGTTGTTGTAACAGCATACAAATTCCCCAAAGAGATTTTGGGGAGTGTTGCTGGAGTGGTGGCAGTCCTTGGCCAGATATATATCTATCTGGGTCGTTCCGGTTACGTAGACCCGACTGTCGTGGGAACGAGATAGGGCGTTTTCGAACTGGCTGCTGAGATAGGTCGATCTTGCACTCAGCTATCGATATGTAATATAAAAAATAATGAGAGGTACTAAAAGGAAATGTTCCCAAAGTTCAGGAGCAAATGAAAAAATGCTCATTGAAAATAACTCACATGTATAAATTAAATAATATAACTTAAGCGGTTACAGCGCTAAACAAAAGGAAGAGTTAGAAAAACTAGCAATGCGGTTTGAAGGAAACATAAGACCGTAAAATGTTTGTTTGTTTCATTAATTCTCCCAACCTTTTAAGATATGACACTCCATTCTTTGCATTAGTTTGCAAATATACACTTATTGTTCTACAACGGCAAACATTTTCGTGGGATGTTTTTTCTTTAATTTCGAATTGAAAATACCTTACGATCATATTGTACCGAAATAAGTGTGGTATCCCTGTATTTTGTAAAATCCAGAAAGAAGCATCAACTGTATGAAAAAATAAAAGGGAGAAGTATACATACCTTCTATAATTTTGACTTATATGTATATTTGGCAAGTCTTTTTGTAAACAACAAAAAATACACATTTCATTTCTTTGCAAGCTTGGAAAATATAGGCTCATTTTTACTTAAATGTGATATAAAGCTCATTAAAATGTTGTGTAATGTCTTGTTATCATAGCGCTTTGTATTTGTATTGTCCACCATACGTGAATTGTTTCTATTGAAAAAGATCTAGTACAAAGATTTTTTGTTGTTTTGAAATTGTTTGTTCATTGTTTTTAATTTTTAAAATTGCTATATTTGACATGTATGTGAATGGCGGAGTTGCCGCTTTCCTCCTTTTCGGTGGGTTTTATATTAAAAAAGGCATCAAAATGGGAAAAAACCTCGTTGGTATCTGTGCATCTGTTAAACTTTTTATGGGAAGAAGTATAAAAATCCAACTTGCTATAATTTCATATGCTTAACAGTATCACAACAGTATGTTTACAGTATCTCCCCATAATTTTTCATATGAAAAAATCTATTATATGCATCCCACTCGATATCATTGAATTCCTCATAAGAACATGTAGCCCCTCTATTTTAGCGTATCAACAGTTCATATGGCTTCATACCATGTAAATGCACCATTATGCGTTTGGACACAACAACAAGATATCGTCGTTCAAATAACTGAACCCAAGTTTCTCGATAAGGGGCAAAGATTCTTTTTTGCTCGTTTATATAAAGCAGTGGATAAAAATATACGTATGTATATGCGAAAGGCAAATTTATCTGTTTAAATGAACACAACCAATATTTCTTGCAAACACACATCGATTTAAATCTTTTATTTTGCCTCCGAATTGTTTTCGTTCAAAATTACGCAAAAAAGCTTACTCGTTCGTTTTAAGGCATGCCATTGTTACGAATTTCGAAAATACGATTCGGATTGCAGCATACTATTTCTACGATTCGTAGCAAGATCCGAATACGAAAGAGTTGCAGAATAGGGGTGCAAGAGTATATCATCATCTAGAAAATTAGAGGCTAAATTAAAATTATTTAGATCAGATAAATTAAAATTAAAGCAATCTTTATCGTTATTTTGTATTAAGTCATTAGTTTGAACTAAAGCTGAGCAGGTACTTATTTGTAATTTGTTTCTACGTTTGGTTTTAATTAAACTTTGCATAGAAAAAACACGCTCTTCACACGCGGACGAATGCGGCAATGGCAATTAGGGGTGTTCCGATACAAGTAAATACGAGTACGTACTCGATACTTTTGTTTCGATACCAACTACTTTTTTTACTCGAATCGTTGTATCGATTCATACTTGGTATCGAAAGAAAAGTACTTGTATCGAATCGATTTGAGCAAGTGCCATATCTTGGCAGCGTCGTTTTTTATGAAAAATAATTGCTTTAAGTAATGACACCGCCAAAATCTAAAGTATGGATTTATTTTTACAAAATTACTGATACCACACCAAAGTGCCAGGAATGCTTTAAAACCGTAAAGTTTTGTGGGAACCTTTCAAAGGTTGAAATTGTTCTCTAATTAATGAATAAATATACATATCGTTACTAATGACGAAATACACATATCAACACCTTAGTGGAAGATCGATCTATCTCGGCAGCCAGTTCGAAAACGCCGTATCTCAGAAAACTATTCAAGAATGCCCTATTACCGAAATCGATTGAAAAACGCCCTATCTCAGAAAAATTTTCCAGAACGCCCTATTTCATAATTTTGTTCAAAAACGTCCTATCTCACCTGAAAATATATTGGCCCGTAGTCATAGTCAAAATAAAGTCGACTTTAAAGTTAGTTGCAGCTTTTTTGACAGATATCCCATTGAAAATTATGTCAAAAAGCTGCAACTAACTTTAAAGTCGACTTTATTTTGACTATGACTACGGGCTATTGAAAATATGTTGAGATAGGGCGTTTTTGAACCGAGTTATGAAATAGGGTGCTTTTGAAACGTTTTCAGAGATAGGGCGTTTTTCAATATATTTCTGAAATAGGACGTTTTTGAAAAGTGTTCTGAGAGAGGACGTTTTCGAACTGGCTGCCGGGATAGGTCGATCTTCCACTCACTGTATTGCAAATACAATACAAATTGCTGTTTATTTTTCGTTCATGTTCAACAAAATAATACAAATAAAAAATTAAAATTGTTTAAATTAATGTTTTTAGTTATTTACGCTGTGTCATATAAAATTTGTTGTTGTTGTTGTTGTAGCGGCTACAACAACCCCGCCCAGATCGGTTGGTATCTCAGTCGTTGTCGTCAAGTTCCACTAACGGCAACCCTAGGAAGCGTGCAGCTTCTGCTGGGTTGCCCATAGGGACAAGGCCGTTAGGGTTGTCGGGTTTTCCGGGCATGCGAAGAGATGTTTCGAGTCATGTGGGGTCTCTCCGCATGCCGGACATTCGTTCGGCACATCCTCATTCAACCTACTCAAGTAGGAGTTTAACCTGCTGCAGTAGCCGGAGCGAAGTTGTGCGAGTGTAGTGCGTGTCTCCCGAGGCAGATGAAGCTCCGTCTCGTCTATGTCCGGGGGTGGTATGCCTAAAACGGCATTCACAGGTCTAGAGTCTACATAACTCGAGACTGAGTCCCTGTGAATGCCGTTCAGGGCCTGTCTGTAAGCTGTCGGGTCCAGAGGTTGCTTAATGAACCTCTGGACTTCGTCCGTTAGTTCATATAGATGCCTCCTGACGTGCCTAGGCGAGGGCTCCTCGGCAAGCAGCTGTCTGCTTGGGTGGCCACTTCTGTGGCTCCCGATCAGGAACTGCTTGCAGAGCATTATATTATGCTCCTTTACCGGGAGCATTTGCGCCTCGCCGTGCAGGTGGTGTTCAGGCGACATTAAGAGGCATCCCGTCGCTGTCCTGAGTGCGGTGTTTTGTACAGTCTATACCTTCGTCCACTGCGTCCTACTAGTCCCCAGCGACCACACTGGCGCTGCGTAGTTCAAAACCGGCCGGCCTATTGCCTTGTATGTTGCCAGCAACGTTTCTTTGTCTTTGCCCCAAGTACTGCCGGCTAGCGACTTGAGGACCTTGTTGCGGCTCTGTACTTTATTGACAATAGCGGTTGAGTGCGCAGAGAAGAGGAGCAGGCTGTCGAATGTTACTCCGAGTATTTTGGGGTTATTCACCGTCGGAATTGGTGTGTCATCGACGTGAATCCCCAGCGGTAGCCTGACCTCCTTCGTCCAGGTTGTGAACAGGGTCGCGGAGGATTTCGTAGGGGAGAGGGCTAGACACTTTGCAGTGAAGAAGTGAGAAAGTTCGGAGAGATAGCCTTTTACTTTCGAACACAGGTCATCAATCCCATTCCCAGTCGCCATGATCGAGCAATCGTCGGCATAGGAGACAATCGAGACTCCCTCTGGTGGTTGAGGGAGCTTTGAAATATAAAAGTTAAACAGTAGCGGGGAAAGGACACCACCCTGAGGAACCCCCGTTTTATTTTTCGCTGCTTACTCGTTTTGTCTCTAAACATTACCGACGAATGTCGACCACTCAGATAATTTGCCGACCACCGTTTGAGCCTCTGTGGGAGAGAGGAGGCCTCTATATCTTCTAGTAGCGTGGAATGGCAGACGGTGTCAAACGCCTTTGACAAGTCCAACGCTACTAGAATCGTTCTCTCACAGGGACGGTTACGGTTAAGGCCACGAGTTATCTGAGTGTTTATGGCGTTAAGTGCTGTTGTTGTACTGTGCACTTTACGGAAACCATGCTGATGCTTCGCTGGGGTCAGGTGATTTGTGAAGTACGGGAGTAGCAAGGCCTCGAGTGTCTTCGCTAACGGGGAAAGGAGTGTAATCGGACGATACGAATCTCCTTTGTTGGCAGGTTTCCCCGGTTTGAGCAGTGGGACCACTCTCCCCACCTTCCAGATGTCTGGGATGATGAGAGTGGCCATTGACAAATTGAGGACCTCCGTTAGGTACGCTACCCCCGCAAATTTTTCAGCATCAGCATGCATATTCCGTCGGGACCCATGGCTTTGGAGGCTTTCGCCTTCCCGATGGCCACCTGAACTTCACCGCAAGTGAAAGCAAGGGGGGCACAAGTTGTTGGCAGTTTGTGCCGCCTTCTGGTCACTCGACGCTTGGCTTTGTCTACCGGACCGACGAAGCATGGTCGCCGAAGGAAATTTCGACTCTGTCGTCGTGCTTCGTCGGATTAGACAATGACCTCACGGTTGACCAAAGCTTGCTCACACCAGAGGTGAAGTTACAAGTCTTCAGATGCTCCTCCCACTTCTTCCGCTTATGTACGTTTACAAGTTGCCGAATCTCCGCGTTGAGATCCCTGATACGGGGATCTCCGGGATCGGCCTGACGAAGGCTATCACGCTCATTGGCTAGAACAGCCGCTTCGGCAGGGAAGTTTGGACGTGGGTCCGATATACACCCTGCCGGTATGAAGCGAGCTGCAGCAGCAGTGATAGCCCTGCGGAACTTACGTTCACCGAGATGGACGTCGGTTGGTGTGGGGAGCGATGCGAAGGTGTTTTCGGTAAACTCCGCGTAACCTTTCCAATCAGCTTTAGAAAAGTTGATATAGGTCCGGTGTTTGGCGGAGGCAAAGTCGGTTGGTTTATCAATCGAGATGACTATGGGTAGATGGTCTGATACTAGAGTCAGCATAGGTCGCCACGTTATGCTGTTTATCAGACCAGCGCTGACTATTGTGATGTCTGGCGAGCTACTGCAGTTACCCATAATCCTGGTGGGTGCGTCGTCGTTCATTGTGCAGAATGTCGAATCGTCTATCTGCTCAGCCAAGTCTGTTCCCCTACGATCGTTTGACAGGCTTGAGTGCCAAATATCGTGGTGCGCATTAAAGTCACCTACTACCATACGGTTTTCACCTTTTCACCTATATCAGGGTGATATCCTGCCGGGCAGCAGGTGACAGGGGGTATGTATATGTTGAATATTTCGAGCTCGACATCGCCTGACCGGATAGCGATGCCCTGACATTCTAGGGTGGTATCCCTGCGGTCGATGTCTGCTTCGATAAGACGATACTGCACGGTGTGGTGCGTGATGAACGCTAAGCCACCACCATTATCTCGCTCGCGATCTCGACGGTGCACGTTGTACCCGGCGCAATTCAACAAAGTTGAATTGCTGTGCAACTTCGTCTCTTGGACCGCAGCTATTAATATACCATGCCGACACATGAAGACGGTTATCTCCTCAATCTTGCTCTGTAGCCCGTTACAGTTGAATTGAAGGAGCTTCATGTGGTTCGGGAGACGTGTCGTGATGTGGGGTGTGAGTGAGGTGTATGTTCTTGCCGCCGTTGGCTGTGTGTGCTGCTGAGGTGATTGCCGCCCTGTGGTGGTTGTGGGGGGCGTCGCAATTGGAGTCTACGACCGAGCAGCGCAACACGGGCCCTCGAAGTTCCCTGTCCAATCTCGCGTGGTACGCAGACCTGAGCATGCCCTAAAGTGGCACCAGCCAAGGCAGGTGTTGCACTTGACTGATGTCACATTACGGAATATCCTGGTCTGACATACCGTGCAGATTGTAGGGGGAACCAGGAGTTGTTGGCGGCGGCGTGTGGGTGGTGGTGTGGTTGTGTGTGTTATGTGGTCTGTAGTGGCTGTGGTACGGTCTGTGGTGTTATTTTGTGGTTGTGCTGTGGTGACTGTGTGTGGCTGCTGTGTGAGTGTGTGGGGCTGCACGGGCGGAGTATGGTTAGCCGTGGAGGCTGCTCTATTTGAGCAACAGGGGGCCACGTACGACGTGGTCCACTGTCTGTGTGTCCGTAGTCCCGAGCAGACCCTGAGGTGACTACACCCCTCGCAGGCATTACACTTGACTGAGGTGGAGTTGTGGTGTAATCGTCTTCGGCATACACAGCAGGTGTATGTTTCTGGCCCAGGGTTTGACTCGATGCCAGCCCTGAGTAGGAGAATGCGTAGTGAATGTAGCCCTATGGACGGACAACTTCTAAGATACTTCGCCGACCTAAACGGGGTTAGATCGCCGAAACAACAGCCCTTGGTCGGGTGAAACCCGAGTCATTCCGGTACGTCGCTATGTGTCGTGATCTTTCGGACTTTGTGTGAAAAATGCATAACGCAAAAGGTTGCATATACAAGAATGAAAAATTATCGATATAAGTAGGTATCGATACTTTCGGTTTACTCATATAAGTAGTATCGAAATAACGATTTGAGTAAACTCATTTAAGTAGGTATCGATACTTTGATGGTATCGGAATGTCCCTAATGGCGAAATGCTTTGAGCGATTCTGTAAATGTTCCGGACTGACATGAACTGATCGAGCGTGTTTTTTATTTTTATTTGACCAAATTTTTGCCAAAACTCAGTAATTGGTAAGTTTTCAAACTTTTTAATTTCTGCGCATTCGGCTAAATTAATAGCTTCGGCTTTATCGATCTCATCTTCAGGAAAAAGTTTTTAGATTATTGGCAAAATACTTGTTGTTTCGCCAGATACAACTTGTTGCGGCGTAAACTTAATAACATCTTGCATAATTTCGTCACTGAAATTAAATCGTTTCCTAAAGTCCTCGCAAAATTTTATGTAAAACTTTAGAATATTTTTTTTTTTTTAATTCAATAACTTGTTCTGTGGCAACATTTTGTGTAATGTAAAAAATTTCGGTCTGTGTTCCACAATTTAAGGGGTTCATTGAACCTTCTATTTCATCTTTATGAAAAAAATT